TTCTACCTTTATTGCCTTGATACCAAAAAAATCGGTAATGGCAAGCCCTTCAGATATTAGACCCATTTCATTGCTTACCGGCCTATATAAAATTATTGCAAAAGTCTTGGAAGAACGACTAAAGGTGGTGTTGCCTTTTGTCACATCTAGCCCTCAATCAGCATTTATTCAAAGAAAAATATCTCCATACCCCTTATTTTTAAGTTTTATTTTACAATAGACCCAAGGTTATAAAAGATATCTTGGGCCATAAAAATTGCAGATTTTATTTTTCTAACTCCTGAGCTAATTTAAACATATTTTTTTAGGCCAAACAAATCTAAAAAAACATGTTTTTTTTAAAAGCCATGCTCTCAAATTTCTAGAGAGAGAAAGGCTTCATGGAGGTGAGAGGTTACCGGAAGGAGAGAGAGAGAGGTGTTTGGAGAAATACGAGAGGAGAGAGGATGCAGGAAGTGAGAGAAAGAGAGAAGTTTGGGATATATAAGTGAAAAGAGAGAAATGATTTGATTTAGAAAGAGCATGTCTTTATTACATTTGTTTAGGTTAAAAAATAGGTTTAAAGTGATCAAGGGCTTAGAAGATATCTTTTGAAACATTGGGTTTATCAAGAAGTGAAACCTAAAAATAAGGGATATGGAGATATTTTTTTGTTACTCAAAATTGGCTAATAACAGACAATGTTCTTATTGCTCAAGAGTGTATCCACTCAAGAAGTGAGAGTGAAGAACTGGAGGGTTATTATTAAGTAGGATATGGAGAAGGCTTACGATATGGTAGAGTGGGGGACTCTGTTAGAGATCATGAAAGGAATGGGATTCGGCAATAGAAGGAAGAGTTGGATCTATGGGTGTGTCTCCTCGGACCATTTTTCAGTTTTGATTGGAGGAAGCCCGAAAAGTTTTTTCCAAGCAACTAGAGGGTTGCATCAGGGCAATCGCCTATCTCCTTTCTTATTCATTATTATGCATAATATTTTAGTTTGATACTAAAAAATATTGAGATAGGTGGACATTTTAGTGGCTTCTTGGTTTCGAGGGATGGTCCTAGTATCTCACACCTACAATATGCGGACGACACGTTAATATTTTGTGGTGCAGAAGTGGATCAAGTTAATAATATTGGAAGATTTTTAAGATGTTAACAGGCATCTTTAGGATTGAAAGTGAATTTTGATAAAACTTCCTTGATAGGAGTCCATTGTAGTGAGCTGATGGTAGCTGATTTGGCAGAATTTTTGAGTTGTAAGGTGGATGTTTTTTCGATCACTTATCTTGGACTCCCTATTTCGGACTCACGGTTACTTGTGTATTGCTGGGATAAGGTGATTCAAAGGATCCAAACTAAGCTGGATTTGTAAAAACTGAACATCTTTCAAGGGGTGGGAGAGTAATATTGCTTAGATCGTGTTTGATGAACTTATCTATTTATATGTCTTTGCTGAAAATGCCGAGAAGGGTGGTGAAAAGGCTAGAGCAGATGATGTGTAACTTCCTATGGGGTACTTTTGGACGTGAAAACAACTATCACCTTTTGAGGTGGGATAGAGTTTGTACTCCCAAAAAAGGAGGTTTGGGGATTAGAAGGCTCTCCTTTATGAATGATGCAATTCTAAGTACGTGATGGTGGAGAATTTTTAAATCAAAGGACCAATTGTGGTGTTCAGTACTCGACCCTAAATATGGTGAAGACCACTTTGGCTTATAGGTTGGGGGAGGTTGAGGTAGCTCTAATAGATCTATTTTTTGGAAGGATATTTTTCGTTGCAAATCTTTAATTTTAAGGATTGTTACGTGGTGTGTTGGTGAGGGCTCGAAGGTCTCTCTTTGGCATCATAAGTGTTTACGAGATGTTGCGTTGAAGCTGTCATATCTTGAGCTTTTTGAGAATGTGGTTAATCCTAATGCAACAGTGGCTGAAGCTTATGAAGTAGTTAGCAACCAAGTGACTTGGAACTTACAGTTCCCATATAACAGGTTGGATGATAGATTGCTGACCTGTTATACAAATCTATTAAGGTAACTCGGGGGATGCTGCCTATCGAGGAGAGAGGACGACGAGTTAATTTGGGATGTTGAAAAGGATGGTCAATTCTCTATTAAGTCACTCTACTCTCTTCTCTTCCATGATTGATGGAGATAGTTGATGCTGCAATTAGTTGTGGTTTAGAAGTGGCACATACCACACAAAGTTCAAGTCTTTATTTAGTTAACCAAGGACAAGTGCTCATAATTGATAACCTCATTAAGAGAGGTAGAATCTTGCCAAATGTTTGCTTATTTTGCAAATTAGATGGTGAGTCCTGCTCTCACTTGTTTGTGCACTCTCTTTAGCTCCAAAGTATGGTATGTCTTCTTAAATCAAGTTGTAATTAGTGCAGCTCTTCCTAAAATTGTCGAAGGCATTGTTTCTCATATTGCTTTCTACTGTTTGTTGAATATTGGTGGTTTGATTTGGGAAGTGGTGAGAGGTGCAGTGCTGGGGAACTGTGGAAGGAACGCAATAGACGGGTTTTCCAAGGGAAAGAACTACATGTGGATAGGGTGATTAATAATGTATCATTGTCTATTTGGAGTTGGATGAGTATTTTAAACAAATTTAGGGGTATCTCACAAGTAGATGTGCTGCTCAATATTCACAACCTCATCAAGCTCAAAACAATCAAAACTAGGCTGGTGGATACCACCTATTCATGGGTTATTTAAACTTAACTTTGATGACAGCTTTTATGGGAATCCGAAAAAAGCAGGGATTAGGGGTATAGTGAGAAACTCTTTTGGGGACGTTGTTTTTGGCTTTTCGGGAACCCTAGGAATTGCTATGCTAATCATGCAGAAATAGCAACACTTTTACAACGACTGAGGATTTTTAGAGCCAAAAATGTCGAGATGTCCTGTGTGGTTGAGGGCAACTCTATGAATGTTATAAATTGGTGCACAAATTTGCAGCGTGTGCCATGAGCTCTGAAGCCATTGTGGTGTGAGATTCTTAATCCGATAGGTCGGTTAGTGGCTACTTTTCAACATGTTTACAGGGAGGTTAATTCATGGGGTGACTTTCTGGTTAAGAGATGTGTAAACTTATCGGCTTTGTTGGTTAGTGATTTATGTGAACCAATTGTAATGTTCTTTTGATTAATAAATTTTTTAACATTGGTAAAAAAAAAAAAGAAAATTAGTGTTGCCTGCCTTCATTTCATTTTAGAATGTGAAAGTAAGAAATGTAACACTCTTAATTGTTTTTTCCACAAACCATAAAAACTCAATTTTTTGATTTTTTTTTTGTTTTTTTTCGATTTGTCACGCAACCTTGTCCAAATCACCCATCCATTCCCCTTTGAGCATATTCCATATCCTACACATTTAACAAACCCATGCACCCTTCGTTTTTTCGTTTCACTTATCCTTATAAGTTTACAAACCCTGTTGGCTCCGCCATATCACATACATCGCCGGTACTCAAACTTTATTTGAAAAACTACAGGGTCATATCACATACATCGCCTGTACTCGAACTTTATTTGAAAAACTAAAGGGATCATTTGGCTACTTGAAAATATATAGTCAAGGAATATATTAATGTCATAATACATTACCTGTAAATAAATTGTTCCAGTTCGGGTATCATCTAGATGCAACCTAGGAAATGCCATTGTTACGGTTGACCATGTCAAGAAATCTAATAAATGTATTACCAATATTTTAGCTAGGAAGTATTGCATTAGTTTTATCAATAGTAAGGTGGTTTTTTTTTTTAATAAATAATTAATTAAAACTACTTTGTTTTCTAATATGTGAGGTAATATCAAGAATGGCCACTTGCGCCCCTCCACCCTCTCCCTCCCTTATCCTCTCTCTCTCTTATTTTTTGGGTGGATCAAGTGAAAAGAAAAGAACTTGGAATTGGTTCCCTGCTGGTACGACTTGAGAGGAAAGCTAAGGAGGTGAAACAATGGCCTTATTTCTCTTTCTAGAAGCTGAAATAGCTTCCCCCCTTTCCATCAAATCCCTTACCTTTCTCTTCACTTTACTTTGATAGCCATTGATAGCCCTGTTCTCATTAAACCATCTGTTGCCTTGATAAAAAAGCTTTAACCATGAATTAACAGCATCAAACGACAAAACCATGAAAACAAATATATAAAAACATCAAAGCTTATTGCATTGAAAATCATACCAAAAAAACACCCTAGATACAACTACAAAGTGCAAAAACAAACGTCCAAAAATCATGACTAAGAGAAAGATAGATGGCCCATCACCTATTAGCTAAGTCTCTAATCACAACCTCATTCACAACATAAGAGATCAACCTGCTCAAGAAAGCACCCCCTCCAGCCATTCTCTCTCTTAACAAATTTTGCACCATTCTCTATCTAGAAAGTTCTGTACCAATCTCTCTCTGGAACACTTTGTACTACTATCTCTATGTTGAACACTAACTTGCCATCAGAAGGCAAGCCCTAGATTTTTCTTTTGGAAAGAAACGAAACTTAAGTGAGAGAGGGCAGAAGACTTACCAGCGAAGAGAGAGAAACAGCTGGGAAGGGAGCTGCATCCAAGAAAGAGAGTGGGGTTTCTAAAGGGTATGCAGAGGTCAATTTAATTTTTTATGGCGGGTCCAAGGCTTATCTTACCTGCCAAGTCCCGTAATAGATTTTGCAACCCTCCAAATGTGAAATGGATTTCACAATTTTGAGGGAAATCTTGGGTAATGCATTTTCATTTCCTGCCATCTTATGTGTACCCAAACACTGAAAATAGCATATTTCCTTATAATCTATTTCCCTATAATAGAAATACAGCCACCCAAACGGCTCCCTAAATGAATGTGTTAGAAATAAGATCATAGATAATGTAACTATCACAAGGAAAGCGGATGGGTCCGTAGACATAGGCTTTAATGAAGAACATGCGACATACATAGCCAAAAACCCGTAAAACAAATAAAAGAAAAAATAAAAAAAAGAACAAGTGACTAAGGCGAAAACCGGTAAAATGAAAAGTAAATAAATGCACGAACTCACGAATTCCTTTTGTAATGGCCAAAAAAGTTTTACAACTATGAGGTGAAAAAAAAGTAGCAGTTAAGAGAAACTTACAACCTAAATCCCTCAAAGATCCTTATTTCATATGAGCTTCTTCTTTTGGAAGAAGCGCTTCAAGTGCCACAACTGAAGGGCCGACACACCCAAGCAAACACCCAATGACATGATGCTGAACCATGCCACCCTTGTGTTGGTCAGTTCGCTCACTTCTCTCATCTCCGCCTCTCTGCATCCATCCATCCATAATGATGATGAATATGCATGCATTCATGAACATAAGTGATGGAAGATCATGACAATTAAGCTCACCTGCTCTTGAGATAGATTAAATTCTCATGGATGGCCTCCACTGCCCCTTCCAACTTCCTCAGTTCCAGCTCCACACCCTGCACCCACCCATCACCCATTCATATATATATATATACACACACAAAATCATGTTCGTAACTTTCGCATGCATTCTCATCATCTCTTCACACATACGTAACTTCATAATAACATTGCAACTAAAGACCCATCATCCTTTGATGATATCTTTTGGTAACTTCCAATGCATACATGCACAACAACATAAGCAACTACATGGCCACCACCCCTTCACACAAAGCATAAAATAATTGCATGCCTTGTATGAACGGAAAGGATGACGACTTCTGCATCTATGCATCTTTGTGTATCTAACAAAAAATAAACAGAGTCCATATACCTTCAACGCATGAAATAAATGTATTCCAACATACATATCTAAATATATACACACAAATACAAACATGCATATACAAAATCACACAAAACATAGCGAGTATAACTTAAAAGTAGATATCAAATGGCTTACATCAATCTTCTCTTTTCGTGCAACTGACTCCCAGTCTTTAGCTGCTATTCCAATCTTCCAGTCAAGGTTGACAGTTGCCCCACCACCATGAGGGTTGCTTTGCACCCAGAAACAGGCCAAGTAATTACCTGCCTCTGAAGTTGTGAAAGCAAATTGGCCATACGTCACATTATCTTTGTTGTGAAGTGAATTTCCATAAGGAGAAGTCACCTGGTTAAGCCAGTAAATTGTCAGACTCAATAAAGTTAAAATGAAAACTAGAAAAAGAAGAAAGAGACAGATTAACACATGGTTTTGATTTCTCTGAGTCACAGAAACAATTTATATAGGGAATTACCATTTTCTATTGAAAATCTATTTTATTAAGGTGTATTGCACACATCCTGGGCATACAATACACAGACGGGTATCTCCACCTTCCATTGCCAAGAAGGATGCAGCTGATGAACCATATTTCCAGGGTAAACGATAAAAAGGAAACCATAGTTGCAGGGTGAATGGCCTTGACTGGAACATGGTTCATCTCCTCCATCCATCCTGGAAACTGACAGCAGATGCCCTGGCTGTCCACTGTAGTATACTGTCAACATAAAGAGATGGTATATATTTCCGAGAATAGAAAAGCCTGATGCATTCTGTATATCTCACATACAACGAATGTATTTCAAGGATCATAAAAAGTTTACTCAGAAACCAAGATAGAAAATTTTCAGATAACTTTTCCACAGGAAAAGCTTTAACGAAAATATAGAATTGTTACATTATATTCTTTTAGAGAAACCCACTCCCACATGGTCATTAGAGAGATGATAAGTGAAACAACCTTCTTGAGCCTGCAGTAAGATAAACCTTCTTGAGCCTTACAAAATAGAGAGAAATTTTCACCTAATATTAAATGCACAGTGTAAGCTTACTAGCCCAAACTACGATGTTCTAGTCACAATGAACAGCAATATAGATGCGGGCTTGCTCACCTGGAGAATACACGCGTTAGAAAACTTCCTATTGACTCAAGAAATCCAGGGCTTAGGCTTCCAAAGCCCAGTAGAACATAAGGGAGGGGTGGGAGTGGTGAATATATATCCTCTCGAAAGACTTGCAAATACTAGCAAGGTCTCCAGGAAGGATCTCATTGAAGAGCTAGAAAGTTACACAACGGGATTTTTAATTTTTGGACAAATCTACTTTGGAATATCCTGATTATGGCATATGTCTTTTTCTTTCCTTTTACTTTTTCCATAGTTTCCATCAACAAACCAGATCAAAAGTAGAACAGCTTCATCGGCAACTATGAAGTAGGAAGTTCAAGCGGCAGTTTTGCATTATCCTAGGGGATTTATATATATATAGCAATCTCATGTTTGAATTTGAGGACATTAACTCATGTTATGTTTTCCACAATTAAGATCTGCTTAATCGGAAAGTGCTGCCTTGGTAATGTGAAGCTGTGTAGTTGCTGCTGCCCGATATAGATTGCTCTTACACTGAATCCGATATGCTACAGGAGGATCCAAAGCATCTCAACAACATAAACCTACACCCTCCCGTTAAAGATACAAGGGTAAACGTGTATCCATAAAGATACAAGATACAAGATACAAGAGTAACATGCAAAAGCAGATACTCTGAATCAATAGCTAAAAAAATCTTCCAAATCAAGGTATAACAAGAATAATTTGAAATATCCATAACCAGGTGTTGTTTGCTTATGGACCATCTGCGAAATTGGTATTGGGTCTACCAACCATTAGGCCTACCTACCATTAGGCACTGACAAGTTCATTTCATCTTTGATAGTAAGAGCACTAGCAAAGATTAATAAGCTCAAAGATCAGATGCTAGGGAATTTGATTGCTAGAATCTATTCAAACTCAGCACAAATAGGTGCGACTTGGACATGGATAGATTGAAGTTTCACGGGTTCAATGGGAGGTCAACTAAATGCAAAAAGATCACATACTAGGCGAGAGGGATTCTCTCTAGATATGTATCACATTTCTAGGTATATCCTAAGGTCATCACTGACACTGCATGCAATATCTGATCTCCTATTTCCCAGCAATAGCCTTAGGATTTTTCAGGTGCTTCTGAAAAATTAATGACTGGTGGGCATCCTAGAGAGACTTGTCCCAAAATCTTAGCTTGTTAAGGACATTCCCCAGAGCTATAGAGCCAAACATCCATAACAATGTTGTTAAAAATAATATTTCAAGTGAAAATTGTTTGGAAGGACAATCATAGGAGCTGCAAGAATGTTTAATACTGGAAACTGTACACCTACAGCCACTGTAGAGGACCTCATTGACTTTGGAATTAGAGAAATGAGCCGAACCAGGGAAAGCAATAGAACCATGGTTTATTGCGCCATGTAACGGTAGTAAGCATGCCTTGTAAAACACCCGTTACAAATAAATAAAGGGTGCCTCTAAATATATAGATGCCATTATTTAAAAGTAGTGTCATTATAGTGGGTACCAAACGCTGGAAAGAAAACGGCGATTGTATATACATTTTAACTACTCATCATCATTAGCAATAACATATAACATTGGATCACGAATTCATGATAGAGATGTGGCAAAAGTTTTATACTAGTGCCAATCTAACACAACCCTCCTCATCCGGGCTTGGGACCAGCAATGGCAGAGTTATCCATTATAACTACTATTGTTTAAAAAAACAAAAAAATTGCCTATTATATCCATTATAATGCTGTCATTTTCCTTAAAAACAAGGGATTGTCTACAAAGAGACCATTTACCTTTTATACAATATAAAAGGAGGTCACAACTATTCTCACTCATTAGATATCAAATTGGATGGCTTGGGGTGAGTCACGAGGTCTAAAAAAATTCTTTTTTGGAACTTTGTGTCTAATCAATGACACTCTTACAACCACCCATTTTGAAAATCTAAGAAACAAGAATGAATGTGACCTGCTTGTCAGTGATTCAAAAAGCGGACCGCCCAACACCTAGGCGGCCAATCTGGGCGGCTGCCTAGGCGGTACGAAACCCTGCCTAGGCAGCCTAGGGCCTACGCCCCTCCCAAAGGGGGAAATTTTTTTTTTCTTTTTTTTGTTTTTAATTTTTTTAAAGAAATAAAAGGTTAGAAAGAGAGGTTTTAGATTCATTTGAAACCTAAACCTACAAGAACCCCTTTTAGAGAGAAAGAAACCTCCAGAAAACTACATTTCATTGGATCGAAGTGTTTCTCCAAGTTTGGAGTTCGAGTTATCAAAGTAAGTGCAAAACTTTATTTTTTAGATCGCTTGTTTTATTTTGAGATGTCTTCTTCAGGAGTTAGTCAGAGTGGAGATCCGGGTTAGAAATATGGATACAACCCGAATCCAAATGACAAAAATTGTGTTAGATGCAATTTTTGTGAAAAGATACAAAACGAGACATAAACTGGTTTAAGAAACATCTTGCCGGTATTAAGGGGGATGTTGCCCCTTGTAAAAATGTTTTTGAAGCTATTAGAGATGAGATTAAGCAATATATAAGTTATGTAAAACAAAAACATGAACAAAATCCTTGTCATAGATCTACTTCTAGAAGAAGTAATCTGGGTTAGAAGTATGGGTACAACCCAAAACCAAATAATAAAAATTGTATAAGGTGTAATTTTTGTGAAAAAGATACCAATGGGGGTATTAGCCGATTCAAAAAATACCTTGCTGGTATTAGAGGTAATGCTACTTCTTGTACAAAGGTTCCTAAATCAATTCGAGATGAGATTAGACATCTACTGAATTTAGAAGAACCAGAAAAGGATGAAAATAAGCCTTGTTCTATGGAAGTATCTTTCTTCAGATTGTTCTAGAAGTGGTGATCCGGGTTGGAAGTACGGTTATAACCCGAATCCAAATGATAAAAATCATATTAAATATAATTATTGTGGAAATGATACTAATGGGGGCATTTACCGGATTAAAAGACACCTTACCAGTATTAAGGGAGATGTTGCCCCGAGTAAAAATGTTCCTAAGGCCACCAGGGACGAAATTATACAACATTGGAGTTCAAAGAAGCGCAAAAAAAAGGGTAGAACAGCCAAGACTCCTAGGGCCTCATCTGCACAGACTGCACATACTAGTAAGAGGAAGGTAGAAGAAGAGGAGGAAGAGGCAGATTCAGAAGAAACAGCGGAGGACGAGCGTTATATTGAAGAGGGAGATGACTCTGATGATGATAGCCTTGACTCTGATGCATATGATGAGGCTTGTTCTATTGATATTCCTTCTGATGATGATGATGATGAAGACTCTTGCCTCTTGGTGCTAAGTGTTGAGTGTTGACTTTTGTATCGTAGACTGTATATTTTCTAAATTTCTGTATATTCCTACTGTGTTGAGTGTTGACTTCTGTATCCTACACTTGTATGGTTTTACAGTTTACTGTTTTAACAATATGGATTATCAAAATTCTCTTCTCGACTTCTATCTTCTTCTTTTTTTTTCAACTTGGAATATGGTACATTTTTTTCAACTGGGCAGCTGCCCAAGTTTTGGACGCCCGCATAGCCACTTAGAGGCCTGGACCCCCCAGGCCGCCTAGGACCCGCCTAGCGCTTTTTGATATGCTCCTCCTTGTACAAAAGGTAAATGGTCTCTTAGGAAAAGAGCCCGAGCTTAATTGGTTAGCGCCTGACGATTTGCAACACTACGTCCTAGGCTCAATTCCTACCAAGGGGCCCTCTCCCCACTGACTAACCAAAAAAAAAAAAAACAGGTAAATGGTCTCTTTGTAGACAATCCTCAAAAAAAAAAAAAACAAAACATGATACATCCATTATAATATCCATTACGACAACATTATATCTGTGTTTTCCAAGATGCCCATTTACTATATATAAAGCACGAGTTGGTTCATGCACATGTGACATCTAATAGCAATCTCCGAGGGTTTGGGTGAAATGTTTGGTATTGTTAATGGCAAAATAACTTTAGTCACGTCCAAAGATGACAAACAAAAAGAAATAGAAAAACTAATATAATAGATAGCTAACCATGGAAAGGAGTACGAGTGTCATCAATCAAATTGTGCTTGGGTAGTCAATAAAATAAACAAATAAATCAAATACTTGTTATCAAATCTCTCTCTCACTTTTTTTTTTGAGAACTGTTAACTTTGTATTAACAGAGTAAAATTTTACAGGATGTAGGACTGAAAGCACTCTCACAGGGTAACTAACAGTAAAAATACATT